GAATTTTTTTTTCAGCCACAAATATGTATCACAAAAATATATTAATTAATATTAGATTTATATAAAAAAAAAATTAAATTTTATCTGAACTACAACAATTCAGCATTGACACCCTAAAGTCATAAAACTGTAATAAAATATTGCAAGCATGTGATCTGTGTTGTTGGAGTCACCAAATCTGGAAAACTAAACTAAAATCACTACATACAACTATACTGCTTGATTAGGGCTTCTATTTGAATAAGGGTTTATTTGAATTATTTGTTTTACTCATTATCCATATTTTTCACTCTATTTCTTAATCTTTTGTTCGTTATTGACTTGATTTGGTTCATTCGAGTCCATAATTTAGTGATTTTGGTTAATAGTTTGTCTTCTAAAATTTGGTTAATTTGGTTTTTGCTTATTATGAATTTGAGTATTTGAATTACATTGAAAGTTTATTCAAATAAAATAAATAATGAATAATTTGATAATTTGATAATTCAAATAAAATGAATGAACGAATAATTCAAATAAATAAATAAAATAAATAATTCAATTGATAATTTAAATAAAACAAATAAACAAATAATAATAATTCGAATAATTTGAATAAACATATAAACAAATAGTTTGAATAAACAATTTGAATAAATGAAATAAAACAAATAATTCAAGAAAAACAAATATTTGAATAAATGAATGATGTCAATTCAAATGATAAATGAATGATGTCAATTTGAATAATAAACAAATGATGTCAATTCAAATAATAATAATAAATGAATGATGTCAATTTGAATGATAAATGAATGATGATGTCAATTCGAATAATAAATGAATGATGTCAATTCAATAAACGAATTATGATATTCAAATAATAAACAAATGATTTGAATAATTCAAACAAAAATTTTATTACAAATAAAAACTCAACTCTATTGCAGAATCATTAAATCTGGCATAATAATGTTCAAACTAAACTGAAATATCCAACTACACTACTTGAGGGGTCCCTACAAGCAATATAATAAAACTAATAAAAGGGTCTAACTAATAATTAAATGTTGGCCAAACCATTAATCATCAGAAAGGGTTATAAATCAATCAATCATGCTAGATTTATCAATTAATGAAAAGTGTTATTTTTATTACCAAAGTGTTATTATTGAAAGATCAATTATTTATTTTTATTGATTAATTTTTTTTTCACTAAAGGAGATTTCAAACATATTTATACTTCTTAAAGTATTACAAATAACATGATTTTGTTCAATAAAATAAAAAAAAATACAATGATAAATTATGACTAATTGAGAATTACTAAAGTTAAATGTCAAAAATATGTCATTGATGATGTCATGATTAAAAGATAACTGATGAAATTTTTTTTGTTGTAATTAATTAAAAATAAAATTTATCTTTCTTGAAAATATTATTAGACAGAAAAATATGGCAATGTGACTCTGGACACATTTGTATTGAACCAATTCCATTCAATTCATTAATGTCATAGAAGACTTTGATGAACCTTTCTTTGAAGTCAACACAGTTTAATAGGACAAGTTTCTGAATTATTTTTGCAGGAAAATTAATTAATTAGCTGAATAAATCCTGAACCAGAGATAAATATGCTATTGATCCAGAATTAAAAGAGCACAACAATCATGATTGTTATATTGTAGCTCTACTCTAAACCTAGAAACATCATTATGGAATAAAACATCTTTAAATACTGTTAGTACTCAACTCATGCTAAAAATAAATGATTTATGAGGAGGAAGTAAAAAAAGGAGTATTGCTTGAAAGTATTTCTTTAAATGAAACCTTCTCAGAAGTTCAAGATGCTCAAAATCTTTACAATGAATCTAACTCATTACAGCAAGGATTACTTGCTCTTACCACTCCTCATCACTTTCAATGTCAATTTTCTTGTTTAGCAAGTGCATCAGCTTCACAGATCTTAGATGGTATTCAGAGGGTGCAAAAGAGAAGTAGTGGAATATCTGTTTACTAGGTACAGGAGCAAAGTGTCATCCACCTAGTCTCCTCATCATGATATTTTTTCAGTATTTGTCAAATTTGTAATGTATTTCACAAAATCCTATGGACATCACATATTGAAAATTTATGTGACTGTTCCATATCAGGGATGACCGTCCTGTCTTCTTGCTTTACATGACAATAGGCATTGGGTGAGCAATAGGTTTTGTCTGATTGTGGCTGAGGGAACCAGTGTTATGACCCGAAACTCTGAGTTTAGGGAAAACCAGAAACAGAAACTAACAGAAACCACCTGAAACTAGTTTAGGTTAGTAGTTTATGTTTATGTATAGGTTTAGGTTTAGTTTTCTGCTTAGTGTAAGTTCATTTTCCAAAACGTTTCGGGAAGCCAAAAGAGTTTCTGGTCACAACACTGAATGTCATGGCTCATATTCAGCTCTTTTTGGTACTGTTGACCTTGGTTTTATACCAAATGATAATGTTGTTCATTATAAAGGTAGTTCTTATAATAACATTAATATAGTAAATGGTAAATATGATGAATTAGAAGTGTTTCAAATAATTGATAAAAAATAAAATCACAAAATAATTTTACTATTTTAGCTAATGTGGATAAAATTTTTAATTATTATATTTTAAAGTTGATTTTTTTTATTTACATACACTACTATCTGTTTGATCTCATAAATTTGTAAAAAATCCACATATTGTATTAATTACACATTACTCATATGACTTTGTAATATTAATCTGATGTATTTATTTACATAACATTGGTCACTAGTTATTAGTAATCAGAGTGAATCATAATTTATAATTAATAAGCATAATTTATAATTAATAAGCATAATTTATTGGACAAAACATTGTAAAGCTCACATTATTTGTAATGCCCCAAGAGGTATAAATACACTTGGGAATTGACCTGGTTAGAGATACAATATAATCTAATAATATCTATCATTTCCTTTGGATCATAATAATAATCTTGATAATAATAAATATAATACTTTTACACATAAATAGTTTTTGACAGTAATTAATTAATAAACCAGTATGATCAATAACCCTTTCTACTAAGGGGTTTGGCTAACCTTTAATCATTAGTTAGGGATCACTTTAGTTTTACTGACTGTGTTGCTTGGTGGAACACCTCAAGCAACACAGTTGTATATAGTAGTGTGAATTTTAGCTAGCTTAATTAATCAAATAAAGGAAAGCCTCAGTTATATTGGTCTTGTGAGACAATATAAGGGTCACTATACTAGATTGTGGTCTGAGCATAGTGCTTAGAAAAGCCTCAGATTCTTTCAGATTGTGATCTGTTGGAAAGGTCATACTAGATAGAGCATAAGAGGAATATACTCTGCAGACTATATTGGACTAAAGCAGCAGGCTAGTATACAAGGAAAATCTCTAATTAGCTTCAGGTTTGGAAATACCAGCTGAATTAATTGAAGTCACTAGTAGGACTAGTGGGTTACAAGTGTAAGTAATTTAGTAAACTTGGAACACACATTCACAATATATAGAATTGCCCCTATATAAAAATAATTAATATGAAGCTAATTATATCTGATCTACTATGGAGCCAAAGAATTATAGCACAATCTAAAGTATTTTGAAAAAGGAGCAAGGTGTAAAAATTACTCCTTATATCTTCAAAATAAATATTACTCAGACACTTGAAGTCTATCTAAGAAAAGAAAGGATTGCTTATGAAATTTACCAAGAAGAAAGAAAAATCATAAACATTAAGAAAAGGAGGATGAAGATGTATTATTACCCAACAAAAGACAGAAATCTTTGGAAGAAAAATAATCTTATTACTACAATATTTATCAATCTATTTTTTCTTTTTAGTCCTTTTGACAACATAAATCATAGCAATTATATAACCTAAAATTAAAGTTGTACCTGCTATTTATGATCAAATGGATTTATCATTGTAATTTTTTTTATTTTTTGAAGTATTGTTTTTATATTTTGTTGCTGCTTAAAAAATCTTCATCTTTTAAATCACTGACAGTGGTTTTGACATGATAAATAATATTAGAATGCTGGGCATGACAAGAAATATTTGTAATCAGGGAGAATATAAGTTTTATTTGATGGTAAATTGTCATTACATGAAGTAATTTTTGCAATAAATGAAGACATCAAAATCAGGGTGATTATCTCTTTTTTTGTCAGCTTCACTTCTAAAATTGATAAAATTGTTTTTGGGAATTTACCAAAAAAAATTTCGAACTTTTCTTTTTTGCTTTTTCTCTCTCCTTGGAACCAGTGGCGGTATCTGTTTTTCCTTTTCTGCAATTGAATTATTATTTCAAAATATATATTTAATAAAAAGTTGAAATGTTGCGTGCATCACTTGATTTTTGTGATATGATAATAGCCAATGATCAGATCTTTATTTATGCTTCGTCTTCTCATCAAATTGTTTTTCAAAAAAAAAAATCAATTGTGTCAACAAAAAAAATCAATCACGTTGGTTATACAGCCCATACACAGATAAAAAAAATTTTTTTGTGTATATATAAATCAATTATAACCTTTTTTTTAAAACAAAAAAATAAATAAAAAATGTCTTCAATATCTTCAAAATGAAAAAAGAAAACAATAGAGGTGGAACAAATGAGTAAATGTTATTATAAGAATGGTGGAGGTCATCGCCACTCATCGTCACTCTAGTCTATTATAAGAATGGTGGTGGTGATTGCAACTAGTCATCGTTCTTGTCCTTACGCATATGAATAGTTTACATCAGAAGAATGGCATAAAATTATGGAGCAAAATCCATACAAAATAAATACAAGTATTCTACCATAAGGCTTATCCCAATTGCTCAATGGATCTATAAAAAGCTTTGTATTTGATGAAACATTTATATGGATTCTTCAGGTCTATGAAAAAAAAAATTATTTGCAAGAGTCTTCAATGAGCTGTGAGTTGGTCAATGCTTGATGTATTATCAGTATTTTGGCAAATGAAATTGAAATATTGGATTAATTCTATTTTAACTCTTTAACATATTTTAGTTCTAGTGCACCAACTGTCGCACCTAGAAAAATAACAGAAAATTTACATTTCACCAATTACTTAAAGTCCCTTTGTTAAACCAATATTTATGAAACAATTCAAAGATATTAAACCGTTCAGTGTCTGGATCCAAGAAAAGACCAGATATATCTTGTGTTATAGATGACATTTCCATCTTAAATTCTGAAATAAATCCATTGGGTTATACACTTATGCAATGAAAAAAGATTTTGTTAAAGCAAATATCAGAGGAAAAATTGCTAAACAATTAATTAGATACAAAGGGTGTCCCTGATTCTTCAGCAATATTAATTAATATGGATATATATATATATTTATGATGACCTTATATATTATTAATTAGTATTAATATTATAATATTAATAATATAATCTAGGTGATGTAATACAGTCAGACTTACAATTTGATGGTATTTAATGGTCATGGATAAGGTTTCTGGTCCAAACTGTTTTCTCATAGCCCAACTAGTTTGGGCAATTTGGGCTTATAAAAAAGTAATTTTTGCCTAAAGTGTTTCAGCAATTTCGGCTACTAATAAAGAGAATTTCGGCTGGAAACCTTAGTCATGGATATATTGGCAATACGAAATTGGTTGTTGATAGACCAACGATACCTGCAACTGAAAGTTCTTTAATTCATTTTATGACATTAGAAGTATGGTTTGTTTTTTACTTTGTTAATTTATATTAAAAATTTTTATTCAAAATTATAATGAATTTTATATTCACAGGAACAAATAACTAGACTTGCAGAGGATTACAAAAAAAGAAGTGGTCAATTCACACCTTCTTGACAAATTCAATATGAGAGAACCATACACCTCAACTCATTATTCAAATGATCTAACTTTGATAATTTTTTAAATAAATTTTTAGAATAATTATATAGAATAAATGAATATGGATAGAATACTGGTTTTATTATTAATAGCTATAAATTAAGTGAATAACAATTCAATGATTCGAAATAAAAAAGTATTATTAATACAGGAGTTATAATGGCAAATTTCAATGAAGGTCTGTAAAAATTTCATTTTTAATATAATTTGACTTTGATTTCAATTATTACACTATCTTTTGATATTGATTTTTGATTTTTTGAATGATAGTAATAGCATATTCTCATGTTTCAGTGTTCTTGTCCTGTCTTTCAACTTGTACATTAAGTGCTATAAATGAATTACATTTAGCAAATTTTCGAGTTCAAAGTTTTATTTATAAATTTTATAAGTTGTTGTATTGTATTACTTGACTAGTCAAAAAAAAATTTTTGAATTAATAAAAATTTATTCAATTTAATGAATAATATCATCGGTTTATGATTTGGTGTGTAGAAATGATTGTTTTTTCAAAATATGCAAATTCAATGTAAGGTTGTTTTATTCAAACGAAATTAGGACTCTCAAATACAATCCTAATAGTCAAATTATTTCTAACAATCAATAACTACGTTCGAATATTTCTGGAGAAAAATAACATGTATTTTTATTGATCTTGATTTTTATATTTATACAAATTATGAAAAATACATATTAGATGTATAAATATGTTTCCCAGGACTCTTTGAAGGAACTTGAGAGGAAACATAATTATATTGTGAAATAAGAATTAATACTCTCTAGCATTATTCACGTTAACATATAATAATAATAAATTTCTGGCTAATAGTTTTGATGCATGTAACCTTCCATATTTATTGAATTTTTCAATAAAAAGGGTTAATACATTTATCATTTGCCTCATACACTTCCTGGTCATAAATATAAGGACACTTGCAGATCATCGGAAATAATTGAATAAAGAAACATGAAAAAAAAT